ATCTCAGCATTCGTGAGGCAGAGACAGGTGGATCTTTGTGAGTTTGAGACCAGCCTGGTCTACAAGAGCTAGTTCCAGGACAGCCAGGGCTGTTACACAGAGAAACCCTGTCTCGAACCCCTTCCTCCCCAAATACTTATGATTTACTTCTAAAATGTCCCATGTAATAGTTCTAGACTGGTATTGACAGCACGTAACTAAAACTCTGTGTGTGTGTGTGTGTGTGTGTGTGTGTGTGTGTGTGTGTGTGTGTGTTGGGGGGGTTCATAAGCAAAGACTTTCCAGCAAGTTTATGTGCTCCCTTAGATGTCACTGTGCTCCCTCAGCTGTGACTATGCTTCCCTGGCTGTGACTGTGCTCCTCTGACTGTGACTGTGCTCCCTTAGCTGTGACTGTGCTCCCTTAGCTGTGACTGTGCTCTCCCGGCTGTGACTATGCTTCCCTTAGCTGTGACTGTGCTCTCCTGGCTGTGACTATGCCTCCCTGACTGTGACTGTGCTCCCTTAGCTGTGACCGTGCTTCCTAGCTGTGACTGTGCTCCCCTGGCCATGACTGTGCTCCTTTGGCTGTGACTGTGAGCCTGTTCCACGTTCTCTTGGCTTTCTTGCTCCAGATGTGTGGTCAGGGCAGAGTCCCTGAGTTACAGTCTATCAGGGAATCTGTGACCCTGCTGACTTGTATCTCACTTACTCAGAAATGTAGAGAGAACCATGCTGTTGTGAGAAGAGGTGAGTCCAAAACGCCTGTGATTTAACCCAAGATGTTCCCCACCCCCTCAGGGGATTCCCTCATGAACTCCAACCAGGGAGCATAGGTCACCCCCCCCCATCAGTGTCCAGTCCAGGAGAAGCCTGACGCGCTGGGCTCCAGGAGCAGCCACCTACCCCCCCCCCCACATACACACTAGGCCCCTCTGTGAAGAGGAAGAAGTAACAACTACTCTAAATTGACTTGGTGCCTGCTTCCGGGAGGGCCCTGGGCCCGCTTGTCATTGTGGAAGTGAATGGTTTCCCATTTCCCCTTCTCTCTTGAAGAAGGTGTGGCAAGGCCCAGGGGGGTGGGAGTCGAACAGCCAGTTTCTGGAATCTTCACCCCAAGAAATGTTTGTGGGGAAACAGTACCCAGGCTGACCCAGCAGGAAGGAAAGCCCAGTCCCCATTCTTACAGGGAACCTTTGAGGGACCGCTGTCCAAGCTAAGCAGCCCCAATTCTGCTCTGGGAGGAGACAACCAACAAGCCCCTCTCTCTGGTCAACAGAGAGAGAGAGAGACAGAGAGAGACAGAGACAGAGAGAGAGAGACAGAGAGGCAGAGACAGAGAGACAGAGAGAGCAAGAGCAGTGCAATCCAGTCTGCATTGCCCAGGCCAAGAGCTGCTTCATGGCCACTCCCAGGAGGCCTCGGGTTCTCAGGGTGGGCCTTTCCTTGGGCTTCTGTATGAAGCCATCATGATGACCTAGGGTGGGAGCAGAGTCATTTTGCAGATGTGTCAATTTAACCTTGGGTCAGCCCCCAGATGAGCTCTAAAGAATCAAGGGTCAGCATCCCTGTGTCACGGGGTGGGGGGTGAACACGACGACATTATCCTGTCCCTCGTGGCCCTCCACCTAGCTCTTCCACTTCGCAGCCCCAACGAGCTCCTGCTTGTTCCTAATGCCTGGAAAAAAGTGGGAAGAGGACAGACGGCTCCGTTCCACTTCCTCTCTATAGCCCGGAGAGTCCCCTACACCGTTAGGGACCTTGACTCAGGACAAACTGGGGTTCATGGCTTCAGTGAGGGAAAGGATCTCAGGACTAATGCGTCTTTACGGTAGTCTGTGATTATAAAGACTGCCTGGAGTGACGTCGGCGTGAGAGGCGAGAGAACGGAGATGCGTAGAAGAGGATTGGCTGAGCGTGTGTGCGTGCGTGCGTGCGAGCTTGTGTGTGTTGCTGTCAACCCTGACGACCAGAGTTCCATTCCTTGAATTCACGTGGTGGAAGAAGAGCCCCGACTCTTACAAGTTGCCCTCTGACCTCTACATGTGGAGTGCTCGAGAACTCACACAGACACGCAGACACCAGTGTTCTAAGAAAGTTAAGATACACCCTGAAGTAGGGGAGTATGGGTGTGGGCTTTTCACCTTCAGTAAGACATACATACCCCCAAGTATAGGCATGGCTCCTCCAGGGAGAGGAAGCAATTAACTATCTTAGAATCGGCAGTGTGCACCCTTCTTTGGTGACTGAGGATACACCTCAAAAGGTTGCTGAGAAAAAGAAACTTCCTTCTCTCTCTCGCTGAGAGAGATCTGTGTGGTGCGCCTTAGGGTTCTGTTGCTGTGATGAAACGCCATGACCAAGCACCTTGGGGGTCAGGGCATTGATTTCTTCTTACAACTCGTAGTCCATCATCCAGAGAAGTCAGGGCAGGAGCCTAGAGGTAGGAACGGATGCAGAGGCCGTGGAGGAGGGCTGCTCACTGGCTTGTTCATCATGGCTTGTCCAGTCCGCTTTCTTATAGAACCCAGGATCACCAGCCGAGGGGTGACACCCCATCCATGGGCCAGCCCCCCATATCGACCATTAATAATAATAATAATAATAATAGTAATAATAATAATAATAATAATAATAATAATAATAATAATAAATGCTCTACAGACTTCCCCACAGGCAATCTGAATGAAGGCATTTTTTTTTCAACTGAGGTCTCTCCAAGATGACTCTTGCTGTGTCAAGTTGACATAAAGCGCACCAGCACGTGGTAGCTCTGGAGATACCTTGGATGGGCATAGAACCGGATAAGGCCAAACGAGGCGCCGTCAAGGCTATACTAGGGGGTTGGTTGTGCACTTTCTCTGTACATGTGCCTCCTGGTGAGATCCCTAGGGAACTGCCTGTTTAGGTTGGCAGCGGAGGAAGTCCTTGAACAACGAGTTAGCTGTGCTGGAATGTTCTTGTTTGGCCACTGGTGAGGGATTCCCACCAGATGGTTCAGAAGGGTTCTCCTCTCTCTCCTCGTGTCCCTGAAGCTTCCCCTGCTTTTCAGTTCTGCCTCAGAAATGTCTCCCTCAGATCTTGACCAAAGGTCCCCAATGGCCCTAGTGCCCAGCACTTGACCTTTGCCGTCCCTCATCAGTGAGAATCCTGTCCCCCAACTGTTGCCCCAGGATTCCTGCCTTCAATTGTGTCCTCTCTAATCCTGCCCCACAAAGTACTGTCCTCCAATTGTGCTCCCAGGAATTCCACCAGACTGGTCGAGTGTGTCACACTGGAGTGACACTCTGCACAAGTGGCCTGGCGGGAAGGCCATCTCAGCACTGGGATGGCACCTGGCACATTAGGATGCTCTATGTGTTGGTCTTAAATGAATGGGTGCCTCGGACACTCACCTGTGCCTCCTCTAGGTGACCTTTCCTTCCCTCGCTCCCCGACTGCTTCCCAGGTCATACCCTACTGACACTCCTATGTCCCCACTCCCTCTTTTACCTCCCTCCCTTCAGGTGAAAAAGCTTCTATTGATTGGCGGCTCTGTTTCCCTGACTGAGCCTGGTATAGGCCAGGGCTGGGTTTGCCTCTGTGTTCACTGTGATTCTTCTCCAGCCAGCCTGGCTCCTGAAGGTGCCTGGGGAGTCTTGAAGGAACCCAGCCAAGAGGAGCCGGCACCCCGCTCTACCTGGGCTCCCCTCTGGTTTGAAGCTGTGAGTCTGGTGGAAGCTCCGTGGAGGTCTTAGGATAAGTCACCATCCTCCAGCCAAGTGCCATCTCCAGAGCGCAGCTTGGCCACCAGGAAATGTGGCCTCTAAGGCAGGTGCCTGGAAGACGCTTCCCCTTCTAGATCCTTCTCTTCATCCTGGGTGTGGGAAGGCATGCTGATGTATTGGGTGTGTTTAAAGAGAAATCTTACTGATTTATTCTTCTTAGTCCTGAAAATCGTACGTATTTATCATAGCAAAGTTTTCCTAATCGAGCAAGTGGAAGGCGCCGTGTCCGGTCTAACCACCCACACCAGTGAAGCATCCTGTCCTGTTTCCTCCAAGGCTGTTCAGTGTGTATTTGCCCTTCTGGGGCGAGCACGGTTGTGTCCGTGCAGCACGGATGACTGTGCAACCTTCTTTGCTCCGTTAACCTGATAATATTAATAACGTACCGATAAGTGTGTAAATAAAGTACTTTATGTGAAGCGTTCTTCGTGATATTTAAAATGGCTGCTCTGGGGAACAGATCCATAGTGCTGTGCTTGCTAGGAAAGTACTTTGTGTAGCGTTTTTTTTTTTTAATGTGTGTGTGTGTGTGTGTGTGTGTGTGTCTCGAACTCTCACTCCTCCTGTTGGTCTCCCAAGTGCTGGGATTACAAGCATTCAACACCATTGGGATGTTTTACCTCTTAACTTTCCTACCTTATTGTGTGTGTGTGTGTGTGTGTGTGTGTGTGTGTGTGTGTGTTACACCATCTTTAAATCCCTCTTGAAAAAGCTAAGAAAAAACAAAAAAGTCAAGTGGGGCTGGAGAGATGGCTCAGTGGTTAAGAGCATGGACTGCTTTTCCAGAGGTCCTGAGTTCAATTCCCAGCAACCACATGGTGGCTCACAACCATCTGTAATGAGGTCTGGTGCCCTCTTCTGGCATGCAGGCATACATGGAGGCAGAATGTTGTATACATAATAAATAAATAAATCTTTAAAAAAAAAAAGTCAAGTGGTGGCACATGCCAGTAATCCCAGCACTTGGAAGGCAGAGGCAGGCAGATCTCTGTGAGCTTAAGTTTGGTCTACAGAGCGAGTTCCAGGACTCGACCGCCCCACACGAATCTGACTTTTTCAAAGGCTCTTGTGGTTTATTGTCAGAGTGCCCAGCTCAGCAGCAAGCTCACTTCCATTTTAGCGCTCTCGTTTGTTGCATAAAAAACATCCTGTAGGGTGCATCCCTGAGTCTGGCATGAGCATCCCTGAGCCCACACGGAGGACCTGGGTGGAGTTGAGTCCCTCAGCTGTCTTATCTGAGGTTTTTATCTTGTAGCTGATTTCGGTGTGTCTGCCAAGAACCTGAAAACTCTGCAGAAGCGAGATTCCTTCATTGGAACGCCCTACTGGTGAGTTGTGAGGCCTCTGAGGAATTGATGGACAGGCTGACTATCAAGCCTGACCCCGTGGTCCATCTGGGTGGATTGTTTGTGGGGCAGGGTGCCAGTTCAGGGCCCCCCGAGTGAGCCCTTCAGTGTGGGTCCGGCTCCACTTCTCTGTTTAGGACAAGTTCCTCAGTTTCCCCAAGCCTCATCCATAAACTGGGCTTACATGGAAAGCCCCCCATTAGTTTACACCAAACTGAGTCCCTGAGAAGGACTTCAGTTCTTGGTTTGATTTACGCATGTTCTGAGTTTCAAGTGCTGAGCTACGGTGGGGGCAGAGGAACGATGTAAATTCACTTCCTGTCCTCACGAGAACTCTCCCTGGACCTGTCTCACCTGTTATGTTTCCTTTTACAAAACTCGAAGTCTTGCTTTGGCCTCAGTCTGCAGATGCGTGGCGCCGAGCACCCACGCTCCCACACGTGCAGTGCGCACATGTGTGTGAGCGCCACCCCAGCCCACAGCTCTCTTCCTCAGTTTCACACCTGATTACTTTGTGTCCTGTTTTTACCACTCACGGTGGTGTTCAGCCCCTTTCTGGCTTGCTTATTACTCTTAACTCTTTCTCTCCCACCCCACCCATTATTCCTTTCTCTTCGCTCCCATCCTCCCCGTTTCTCTCTGTGCTGTCCTGTTCGGTTTACCCAAATGTCCCACCTTGTTTTTATGCTGGAACCTTCCCCCCTCTGCCCTCACCCACCCGCCCCTTCCCCCAGGACTCTGTTCTGGATTGCTGCTGCCACCTAGTGGTAGGTTCCAGAAACTGCAGCAGGCCGCGGCAGGGGCTGGTGAAGACCCTTGAGGAAGAAAAACGGATGCCAGTAATTCATATTACTGCCTTCAAACGCTGCCAACCTCCAGTGTGGAGCTGGCGGTGTTCCAGACCCTGCGGCTACAAGCAGCACTCGCAGGGGCCCGATTCTGAGCCCTTATTGTTCCTTGGTTGGCTCAGGATGGCCCCTGAGGTGGTACTCTGTGAGACCATGAAGGACGCGCCCTATGACTACAAGGCTGACATTTGGTCCTTGGGCATCACGCTGATCGAGATGGCACAGATCGAGCCCCCACACCACGAGCTTAACCCCATGCGGGTCCTGCTCAAGATTGCCAAGTCGGACCCTCCCACGTTGCTCACGCCCTCCAAGTGGTAAGGAGATGGGACAGCTGGATACTTTTAGAGGGTCTGAAGTCACTCCAAGGGGACCTGAGGCGTGCAGCACTGGGGTATAGGTGTGCAGTATCTAGCTCTTGGCTCAGCGGACTCCAAAGTCAGGGGGATGTCGGAGCTGGGGTGGGGGATGGGGCACCTCCAGGCCTTTCTGAGCTGCTCACCTGAACTTTGCATAGGAGACGTGGGAGTGAGGCCACTTAGCCAGAGTGAGATCCCATTTTGTTCCAGGACACGGAGAACATAAATAGAAGCCCAGCAGTCACATGATTCGGGGCTAGGAATGGGGACTTGGGTTCAGTCTCTGTTCCCTTTGACTTCTATGATGAGAAGGGTGTCACGTAGAACCTGTCCCCACTTTTCGGCCACAGAGGTCCCTTTGTTCTTGGGAGTGTTGTTTTGGGGCGATACCAAATCCTGGGCACGTGGTGACTGTGTTATGGCCCACTTCTTTCACCTGTGATGTGGACCCCCTCCTTACACCTGTCCCCCCAGGTCTGTGGAGTTCCGAGACTTCCTGAAGATAGCGTTGGATAAGAACCCAGAGACCCGGCCCAGTGCTGCACAGCTGCTGGAGGTGAGTGGAGGTTAATAGCAGTGAGCCCCGGAAGGGTGGCTGTGAAGGTGAATGGGCATACAGTCAAGTGCTTAGCTCGGCTCTGAGCCGCTGTGCTCAAAGGATAATTGATGTGTCCAGTGCGGTTTTGAAAAATGAAAGGAGATGAGATGTGATTGCACACACCTTTAAATCGAGCCCTTGCAAGGCAGAGGCAGGCCGATCGCTGCAAGTTCAAGGCCACCTGGCCTACATAGAAAGTTCCAGGCCAGCCAGAGCTATGCAGCAAGACCATCTCAAAGAAAAAGAAAAAGAGAAGTGGGCCCAATGCTAGGAGACTCCCGATTTTCCGTTCACACGCCTGATGCAAGATCAAGTGTGTGGTCTTCCTGGCTGCCCCTTCTCAGTGAGCTGTTGATATACGGGATGGGGCTGCCAGGATGGGGCTTCAGGCACTGTCAAATGCAAAGGCCCCAGCCACTTGGGGCCAGCTGCTTGCTGTAAACAGCACCTCCTGGGCTGGGGCATCTGGCTGGCCTGACGCAGGCAGGTCAGAGACCAACTGTCCCATCCCACATGGCAGCCTGGAGCCTTAGCTGGAACCAGGAATTTCTACTTCCTAGCTGAAGCGGCGTCTGCCAGGGGATTCTTAGTGTGCAGTGAAGAGAGCACAGTGCAGAGGGGAGGGGTGGTAGAGGGAAGGAGCTCAACTTCAGTTTACCCAGCTGTCCTCAGACCTGCTGGGATTTCCCCAGCAGCTGTTTCTGAGGAGGGTTGGAAGAACACACTGCTATGCTGGACTTGAGGAGGCTGGGCTCAAAGGAGCGGTCCCTGCCTGAGGTCACCTGGTTAAACTGTGGGCACCTCGGCCCTGTGTCTGTGGCTTCTGGGGGGCTGTTCCTCTTTGTCCTACTGTGTCCCACATGGCTGAGTCACTCCTGCTCCCGGGGACTGATGCTCAGTCATTTCATCTGCACGAATGTCGCTGGGCCAGTGTCCTGCACCTGCTGCTGGCAGCCTAACCCTGAAAGCAGGCACCTCCAACCAGGTGTGCGAGGAGTTTTCTCTGAACCTCAGTTTCTCTGCAGTCAGATGGCTAGCCGGCAGCGTGAGAAAACATTCCCCTTGTTCACGTTATTCCGTCACTCACCCACAACCACTTGGCAGCAGTTCCCGCGGTTTCGGAAGTACCAGTGAGCTCAGGCCTTGTCACTCCTGTTGTCCCACCCAGGCTGGTCCCTGCCTTTCCTGACCCTCCCTCCCACCTCTCACTCCCTGCTGTCTGCCTCCTTCCCTTACCTGCCTAGCACAGCTGATGAGTGTGGTGAGCACTGGGGCTTTCTGCTCCCCTCAACTTGCTGTGATGATCAAAGCCAGCCTATGGGGACCTCTGGCTTTGAGCCTCCAGCTCATTCACCCTGACCCCGGACTTTTGTCCCCGAATCTTTTTCGGATGCCCAGAGCCACTTCAGCCTTGCCACAGCTCCTCAGGCACACTCTGTGGTGGCTGCCCATCTCCACCCTGGCAGCCTGGTACTCTTCTCATTCTCCACATCCCTCCTATCATGGGTCCTGTTCCCTCTGCCTTCAGAGCAGGCCCAGAGCCCACCACCTCCACGGGGCCACCGTCAGAGCTGCCTTGCCCTTCACTCAGTCTGTGGCTTCCCTGCTGGGTGTTGTGCTACTTCTGAGTCTGTTCTCAGAAGCACCTTGTGAGTAGGTTTCCCGCCCTACCCCCTAAACACAGCCCCTCGGTTAGCACGGCTTGTATTTGCCCTTCTCACTGCAGAGATGACAAACCAGGTAAAGGCAGCCTGGAGGAAGGATTTGTTTCGGTTCCTGGTTGTGGGGGGGGGGGGGGCCCAGCCCACCAGGGTGGGCAAAGCCTGGCAGCTGGAGGGGACTCTGGTGGTGGCGCATAGGGAGCTGTATGCCTGGCAGTAGGAGTGAGAGAGTGTTACCGTGAGCAGGTGGGTGCGACCCTTCGAGGGGTACTTCTGGTGACCTTCCGCCAGCCATACTGCACCCCTAAAGTTCCCACAGCTGTCACAATAACACCACAAGCTGGGGGGTCAAGGATTCAGAACTTGAGGGGCTGGAAAGATGGCTTAGTGGTTAGGAGTACTGACTGCTCTTCCAGAGAACCCAGGGTTCAATTCCCAGCACTTGCATAGCAGCTCACAACTGTCTGTAACTCCAAGATCTGACACTCTCACACAAGCAGACATGCAGGTAAAACACCAGTGCACATAAAATAAAAATAAATCATTTGAGAAAAGAAATAGTCAGAACATGAGCCTGTGAGGAACCTTCTAGATTCAAACCCTGACAAGAGTGTTGAGGACAACAGCCTGGCTCACAGACGTCTCCTCAGGGCGGCGCCTGGCATGGTGGGAGCCCTTTGCAATTGTTTGCTATGGAAGTCGACGTAATGTTTACCTGATTAACATTGGCAAACACTCTGTCCGCGTCAGCTGCTATTCCTGACACTTAGCAGATGTTAACTAGGGCACTGCCCACAGCAGCTTGGTGTAGTGGGAGCTGAGCATGCTCCATCACACAGGTACGGTCTTGCAGTTGTAAAGGACAGCTGGTGACTTGACTCTGAAGTCTGTGCCCTTGACCATTCTGGGAAGCTGCTTCTAATGAGTAGAGGAAAGAAAAACGTCCCAAAGCGGGGCTGGAGAGATGGCTTGGTGATCAAGAGCATTGGCTGTGCATCTGTAGGATCCGGGTTCAATTCCCAGTACCCACATGGCAGTTCACAACTGTTGGTCACTCCAGTTCTGTAGGATCTTTCGCTCTCTTCTGGCCTCCACAGTCATGCACAGTCATGGTGCTCAGACATACACAAATAATAACTCGTACACATAAAAATAAAGGTCAAAAAAGGAACAGAGAGTAAGGGTGCAGGCTGGGGGGCCATACTTTCATCTTTCTCTGTCATGCACCCGTGTGTGCGAGTGTGCGTGCACACACATACACACACATACACACACACATACACACGCTAGTGGTTTCTCAGTGTCGAAAGAACATAGGCTCACTTGGGAAGGGCATCTGTTTCAGTGGCAGCAGAGATCCTGGCCAAAGAGAGGTGCCAGTTGGCAAGCTGTTTGCTGCCACCTCCATGCTGGCAGCTTGAAGCCCTCGGCAGAGCTGGCTCTGAGCAGCCATCCCTCTTCCTGGAGGGGTAGACAGTGAAGCCAGCTCTGATCTGCCCTTATGCCTGGACCAGCCTGCCTGGTGCGGCACATGGAGTATTCGCCCAGTGTCTGACCACCCTGGGAAGTCTCCAGATCCAGCTCTCCAAGGGTCTCAGCATTTGAGTAAGACAGAGAGACTTCCCTCCGCCCACATCGGTGAACTGATGCGGCGCAGGCCACACTGCCTGTTACTCTTGTCTCAGAACCTTGACACACATCAAGGCCTGGTCAGCCTTGGCAGGGCTGCCCACACACCAGCCACCTGCCCGGGGCCCCCTGCAGGGAGCTGCCCTGTTTAACTGGCCCTCTGTGAAAGACTGTCCTCCATCCCCTCCTCCTCCTAGGGACCCGGGGCTCTGGGCAAGCAGAGCAGATGGTTCTCCTCAAGAGCTGCTAATTTGGTCAATATGTGGTATGCCCTGATGAAAGCCTTGTACCCTCAAAAGCCCAGGCCTGCATGGTTTCTGCCACCTCTGCTTTAGCTGCTGGTGCAGTGTCCTGTGGTATCCCTCTCGGTCATGTGATACGGAGCTCAGAAGCTGTGGGGATCTCGGAGCTACTCCTCATTCCCAGAGAACTGTGCTCTGGAAGAGAATGACCAGGAGGGTGAAGAGGCTGTGTGGCTTGTTCTGAACCTGCTGTGGTGGTGCTGCTGGTGTGGCTATGGTAGTGGTGATGGTGGTGGTGATGATGATGTGGTGGTGGTGGTGATGTTGGTGATGATGATGATGTGGTAGTGATAATGGTGGTGATGATGATGGTGATGGTGGTGATGATGGTGATGGTGGTGATGATGTAGTGATGATGGCTGTGATAGTAATGATGGTAGTGATGACTGCTGGTGGTAGTAATGACAGTGAAGATAGTGACGGTGAAGATGGCAGTAATCGTGATTCTGATGATGGGGTTCTAATGGTGATGGTGGTTGTAGCAACGGTAATAGTGGTAGTGATGGTGCTGGTGGGGATGCTGGTGGTGGTACTGGTGATGGCAAGAGCTGTGCTGTTTTGAACCCTCACTGGAGTACATAGGACAGCCATACTATTAGCCCCCACTCCACAGATGAGCAGACTAAGGCATAGGGTCTCTTGACACATCCGTGTTGACAGTGGGAGCTGGATTTTACCCAGGTGGCTCAACGCTGTCACTTCGTCAGCACACTTTACCCTGCACATCCTGGTGACCAGTTGGTTAACTCTGTGAATAGCCCACTCGGGACTTCTGGAAGCATGCAGCAGCCAGAGTAACATGCTACTGGGTAGCAGAGCCTCTGAGAATAAATAGGGAATGACTCTCCACTGGCCCGGGTCATGCATGTGCTCTCCACTGCCCCAGGCCATGCAGGCTGCCTAGGCTCCCTCTCAGCTCCGTTGTCTCCCAGGCATTGCTGGAGGCCCTCCTCCTCCTCTTCTTCTACCCTTTAAGCCCAGACCTACCTCAGGGTCTATGAAGGCCATACCTTTGCCCAACACTCTGTACCAGGAGTTTTCCCTGACTTTCCCCTGACCGTCTTTCTGTCATGGGCTTTCTGACTCCTTTGGCGAAAGGCCCGACCAGGCCCTGGCACATGAGGTCACATCCTTGGAGTTGCTGCCTAGCTGTGTCAAGAAAGCAGTGGATGAATGGGAAAGTTCACAACTCCACGAGATTAGATGAGCCGAGGTCAGACTGGCCCGAGAAAATGTGACGGACACAGCTCATTAAAGAAGTGATAGTTGCAGCTTTCAGGGGAACGAGTTGAGTAGGGAGTGGCCTGCTGGTTGTCCACCACTGACCTGCCTCACTGACCGAGTTTGATGGTGCTGGGGGTTGATCTCAGGGCCTCACACGTGTTAGACAAGCGCCCTGCTCCTGCTCTACACCCAGACCCAAAGGAAATTTTTATTCTTCTTGATTGTATGTGTGAACTGGGCCAGGCATGCTTGTGCCGTCATGTGGGGGTCAGTTCTCCCCTCCCGTCATCGGGGATGTGGGGACCCAGCTCGGGTCATCAGGCGTACCTGTCAGTGTGTTTTACATACTGAGTCATCTCGCCAGCCCTAGAAGCACTTTAAATGTCCAAATAGAAAGGAATGACTTCTTGTGGATTTGCCAGTTCTAAATATGTTTTTTTTAAAAAAATGTTTTGTGTGCATGGTATTTTGCCTGCACGTGTGCCTGTGTATCACACGTATGCAGTGCTCATGGAGGCCAGAGGAGGGTCTCAGATCCCCAGGAACTAGAGGGAGCTAGAGATGGTTGTGAGCTGCTTTGTAGGTCCTTGGGAATTGAACCTGGGTCCTCTGGAAGAACTTTTAACTTTTAAGTGCTTTTAACTGCAGAGCCATCTCTCCAGCCCCCCAAATACATCTTTAAGTTGTGAGAAATGTAGTTTTTTAGTTATTAAAAGACTTCCCCACCAATTTTGTTGGCACCATTCCTCCCCAGATAAGATTTCTGATGATAGCAGTGGGTTTCATCAGAGCCTTCCCACTCACCTCAGATGAGCAGATTCCAACCTGATGATGCCCTAAACCGCTGGCATTCCTTTCCCCCTGCCCGTGGTGACGAAGGGGCTGAGGAATCCCACCCTGGCCACTCCCTGTGCTAGAGAAGAGATATCTGCAGATGGTGTCTCTAGGTGCTTCTCCAGGGTGCGTCAGGCTGACCAGATACCCCCAGATCTTTTGCCTGGGGTTCTATAAGGTCCATAGAAGAGCAGTCACTCTTGAGAAGTACCCACCTGTGTAAAAACCTAGAACAGAGCGCAGCTCACCGACAGGAGTCTCTGCATTTCCCTTCTGAAACCAAATGTATATTTCTGCCCAAAGACAACTGATGTAATAGTGTCCCTAGCTGCTCACTTCATAGTCACCCAGAGCAGGAAGCTCCTCCATGTGCCCAGCAGCAGCAGGACAGCTAACAGATGGTGACGTGTTCCTCCAGTGACACGGGTACTGGAGACAGAGAGGAGCCTGGAGTGGGACTCAGGGGCAGAAAGCACCGCTTAGCATCACTTCCCAGCACGTAAGGATGTGGCCTGGCAGTGAGCTGAGCCTCGGGACATCTACTCAGGGCAGTGGATGATCCTCACATCTGCCACTGAATAGAATCTTGGGGTCTGGGGGTGTAGATCAGTAGATAGAACACTAGCCGACTGTGCACAAAACCCTCGGCTCTGCCCCTGGCATTGCATAAATTGGGTATATTGGTGCCTGCCCGTGATCCTGGCACTAGGGAGGTGGAGGCAGAAGGATCAGAATTCAAGGTCATCCCTGGCTACATAGGTAATTGGAGACCAGCCTGGGCTACATAAAAATCTATTTTTAAGGGAAAAAAAAAACTAAGACAAATCAGAGTGAAGCAAAGTTAGCAGACTTATTGATTAAGCAGGAAAAAAATATCTGTTTAGACAGAATCACATGACGATGAGAGACTGAGAGACACGTCCCTGAGACCCTAATGACACTGGCCCACACAATGTGGAGAAACCTAAATTAGCAACTAGTTCAGGGCCAGAAGGCGCTGGCATACTCCTTGTTCGCGGAATTCTGTCCTTGAAGAGACTTTGTAGGAACGTGGTGTAACTGTGTGGGGGAGGATAGCTCAGTTGTTATTCTGTTGCTGTGATGAGACAACATGACCAAGGCAACTTACAGAAGAATGAGTTTGTTGGGGACATACAGTTTCAGAGGGTTAGAGTTCATGACCCCCAATTAGGGGAGCATGGCACTGGGCTGCCAGGCATGATGCTGGAGCAGTAGCTGAGATTTCACATCTCGATCTCAAGCACCAAGCAGAGAGAATAACACTGGAATGGCACAGTCATCTGAAACTCGGAAGCCCCAGTGGCATACCTCCTCTAATAAGACCACGCCTCCTAATCCTTCCCAAACAGTTCCACCAACTGGGAACCAAGAATTCAAACATATGATGAGCCTATGGGGGCCATTCTCCAACTGCCACGTTCTACTCCCTGGCCCCCAGAGGCTCATGGCCATGTCAGAATGCAAACCATATTTAGTCTGTATTATTCCAAGTTCTCTAAATAAACAGAACAGGATGGAATGAAGCAGCTGATTGGATGAGGGTTAGCAGAGGAGAAGCATGGCTCAAAAAGAAAATGAACACACACATGGCACCACCACCCCATAAATAAAACATGGACTGGACTTGGTTTTACAAGGCACTTTTGAGCGAATTGTCTCATTTCATCTTTATGACTCCCTGTGGTTTCAGCACGGCTGTCCGTCCTTTGGGAGTTCCCCTTACCAACTTGAAGTTCATGCATTGCTTTAGGACCACAGCTGGCCCTCTTAGCTCGAGGATCAAATCCCACAGCTGCTCCTACCCCACGACAGACCCCAAACGGCTCTAACACAGGTGTGTCTTCTTCTCAGCATCCCTTCGTCAGCAATGTCACCAGTAACAAGGCTCTGCGGGAGCTGGTGGCTGAGGCAAAGGCCGAGGTGATGGAGGAGATCGAGGATGCCAGGGATGACATCAGGGATGACGGAGAAGAGGAGGACGCTGTGGAAGCCACCTCGGTAAGTCTGGGAAAAGATTCCTTTCTGCCTCTTGGGGCCAACTGGCTGGGAGCCCCAAATACCCATGCCCAGGGTGAGGCTGAGCAGCTGTTGGCCAGATCCAGGTTCTCGAACATGCAGGACCTAGAGCTGTCCCAGGGTTCCTGGTCTCATAGTTCATCCCAGGAGCTTCTCATAGGGAATTGCTCATGCTAGAGGGTCCCCAGTAAGTCAGGGTGAGTTGTCATGGAGCTGAACCCCCAGGCCCTTCCCATTTATTGTATTTTTTTCTTCTTTTTTTTTCCCCCCCATCTGTCCCTTTCACTCGGATCCATCTCAAACGCACCCATAGTATTGCCTTTTTATTTATTTATTTTTGGATTATGAGACAGGGTCTTACTGTGTAGCCTTAGCTGTCTTGGCACTCACGATGTAGACCAGGCTGGCCTTGAACTCACAGAGACCCGTCTCCTTCTGCCTCCTGAGTGCTGAGATTAAAGGCGTGCACCATTGTGCCTGGCTCTTTTTGTTTTTAATTTTAAAAGTTTTAATTAGAATTAGGCTTTGCCGTAAAAATTTAAAACAAAAACCTTTTTTTGGTTCTCCTTCAGACAGAAGAGGTCCCTAGCCCCCCTCCCACTCCCAGTTGTCTCCCCCCACCTCTGTGGCCTCCCTTCCGCCTCATGCCCCATGTAGACACTTAGTTTCCTAGTCACAGAAATGAGTATTTGGTTTCATCATAGCGATGTTTCCAGTACTTTCCACCCTACAAAAACTAAAATACAAGGAATGGGTGGGCTGAACCCTGACCCAGGTAGGACTGATCGGCACTTTTGTTTTCAATGTAAATTGGTTGCCATCTAGAAATCAACAGATAATCATGTGAAAATTAAGTTACCAAGATGGGCATGAGACTCAGTTGACAGAATGCTGGCCTAACATGCCCAGAGCCTTGTCGTCCATCTCAGCCCCACATTCAAACTGGCGTGGCAGTGCAAACCTGTAATCCCAACTCTTGGGAGGTAGAGACAGGAGGATCAGAAGTTCAGGGTCATCCTTAGCTGCATAGCCAGTCTGAGGCCAGCCTGACCTACTTGGCGCTATCACAGAAAAACAGCAACAACAACAAAAGAAATCAGATGGCCAATGTGTGTTGAGAAATTGAGAGGCCTGGCCTCAGGTGAGACAGGAGTATTCCCCACACTGTGACAATTGGCTGGGCCTCTCAACAGCCGGCCATAGCCTGTTATCCTCATAGGACAGGAGCAGTGTTGAGGTAGAAATAGCAATTAGAGAGAGGAGGTGAGTTCTCAACCCAGTGGCAGCCTGTTGAGGAGAGGCTGTGGGAAGTGTTTGGAGACTAGGCTCAGGGGTCCCTGCTCTGCTCTGCTCTGCTGGCCTGTCGCCTGTGGGGCCTGGGCTCCCAGAGGCTCAGCCTTGACTCTTTTCTAGCCCCTGGTCAACCACACTCAGGACTCTGCTGGTACAACTGAGCCAAGCCTCAACTCTGACAAGCCTCCCCAGGATTCTTGTGTTACCCTGCCTCCCAGTCAGCCGCGGGAGCCTGTGGACGGTAGCCAACCCTCAGGGGATGGGCCTCTCCAAACAGTCAGCCCTGCGGATGTGGTCCCCAAGAATGACAATGACTTAAAGGTACCTGTTCCCCTCCGGAAGTCCCGACCATTGTCCATGGATGCCAGAATTCATCTTGCTGAAGAGAAACAAGTCACTGGCCAGGCTGAGGACCCCAGTCCTGCAACCAGCAAGTCCCAAAAGACAAACCAGAGCCGCCCCAACAGCAGCGCCCTGGAGACCTTGGGTGGAGAGAAGCTGGCCAATGGTGGCCTGGGGCTCCCCAGCTCTGTAACTCCAAGCCATGTTAAGAGGGCTTCAGACTGCAGCACCGTGTCTACCTCGGAGAGCATGGACTACGGCTCCTCCCTGTCTGCTGACCTGTCACTGAATAAAGAGACGGGCTCATTGTCTCTCAAGGTAAATTCACCTATCATGGGCCCGCCCCCCCCCCGCCACAGAGTAGGCATGCTGGCCGGTGTGCCATGCTCAGATTTCAGTCTCAAAAGCAGGCAGAAGCTACTTATATTGTACTTGATTTGTGTATTCGTAAGAGGTGCCAGGGGTGAACCTAGAGCCTTGTGTATGCTAAGCACCACACACACACCCAGCCTCTTCTTATTTTAAATGGCTCATGATTTTTGCTTAATACCCCACATATTTGGGTCAGTATAAGACATTATTGTTGCCTGTTTAAATTTTATTTTATTTATAATTTTTTTTTTATGTGCATTAGTGTGAGGATGTCCGATTCCCTGGAACTGGAATTTCAACAGTTCAAAGCTGCCATGTAGGGGGTGGGAATTGAACCTGGGTCCTCTGGAAGAATAGCCAGTACTCTTAACTGCTGAGCCATCTCTCCAGCCCCTTTATTTTATTTTTTTAAGATTTATTTATTTATTATGGCTACAGTGTTCTGTCTGCATGTATGCCTGCAGGCCAGAAGAGGGCACCAGATCTCATTACAGATGGTTGTGAGCCACCATGTGGGTGGTGGGAATTGAACCCAGGTTCTCTGGAAGAGCTGTCAGTGCTCTTAACCTCTGAGCCGTCTTTCCACCTCCATATGTTTAAATTTTAAAGTTTGGTTAAAGGGCCTAAAACTGGGGAAAGAGCATTCCAGGGGTGGAAGTTCTCTTGCTTGGGGGTCAGCTGTATGACCAGTGGCTAACAGGTAGACTCAGCGAGAGCAGCTGGGCTCGTTCTCCTCTCTGGCCTCCTGTCTGGCAGTGGTAGCCATTCTGTGCAAAGTGTATTAAACAGAATCGAAGGGCCGCTTCCTCCCACGATTTCCAGATGGGCAGTGGGGACGAAAAGAAGGTGGCAGTTCTATGATACCATTAAACTTACTGTTGGCCACCTGAACCCCCAAACAAGACTGATTTAGGGGAGCAGGGGGAGGGGGTGATGCTGTGCACTTCTGTCTTGCCGTCTAAGACTTACTTAGTGTAACACATCTAGAGATTCGCATATCTGTTAAGTATAAGGTGGCAAAGGCAGGAGCAGCCCATCAGCCCCTCAGTAGCCTCTGGATCAGAAAGAGGCTCCGTCAAGCAGACGTGACCACGGCAGCTTTTCTCTTCATTTCCTCAGAACTGACACAGATTGTCATCCACTGTAGTTGTCCAGCTGTGGCCAGCGACTCTTTTTTTTTTAACTTTATTTAACTTTTTATTTTATGTGCATTGGTATAATAATGCCAGGTTCTCTTTAACTGGAGTTATAGACAGCTGTGAACTGCCATGTAGGTGCTGGGAATTGAACCCAGGTCCTCTGGAAGAGAAATCAGTGCTCTTAACCACTGAGTCATCTTGCTAGCGGCTTTTATGAAGAAGTATCATCCTTGCTTCTTCCTCCTAAAAGGGCACTAAGTGGGGCTGGAGATGTAGGTACCACCCTTGATGGTAGGGTGCTTGCTGCACGTGCCCATGGCCCTGGGTTCAATCCTCAGCACCATTAAAAAAAAAAGAAGACATTGAGTGCCCAGGGCCCAGGTGAAGTGTGCTAGGCATCAGCATACAGAGTGAAGTGCCAACTCTTAGCCAATCCTGGTGTGCCTACTCCTCTGGAGGCCCATGGGCCATGTTATAGAGGCAGGGCTGTGTTCTAGGAGGCAGGACTTTGGGAGTTTCAGGCAATGGGTAGGACAGAGGCCATCAGATAACCACTGTAGGCCGCTAAGCCCTCCCCTGAATCAGAACCAAGCACTTCCTCCATGACACTTTCCAGGGCCAGGTCCTCCCTAGGCAGACTTTATAGAGCGTGTGGTTATTCACAGAAAGAGATAAATGGCAGGAATGGCCCCACGAGGCTCTGGACAAGCACAGCTGCCTGTGAGCTTCAGCTGGCTAGCTGAGGCCACCAAATCTAATAGGGATTGTGCTCTGTGGTCATGACTGACAGAAGTAAATGCCATGCCTTATGTATCCCATGTGCTTCTCATCAAATCTGCATGACCACCCAAAGAGGCGAGTTCTGTTTTGATACTCCATGAACAGTGTAGAAGGCTGAGATTCAGGCAAGCCCAGAGTCTTGTCCAGGGTCCCAAAGCCGGCAGTGTCCTGTGAGGATGAAAGCAGCCCTTTTGGATGTTGAGATTGTGTTTTGTAAGAATGCCTCGGTGAGGTCAGAGCCTTGCATGGTGTCTGAAGCTGAGACCAGCAGAAGCAAGGGGGTCTAAGGCCAGGCCAGATGCTTAGAGCCTATTTGGGAAGCTTGAGGAAGGGGCACCATGGATGGCTTCATCCTTCCTGGGCCCTGTCTCCACCATGGATTTCTAGCTGACCTTGGTCACATTCTCCTTGCCAGGGCTCAAAACTGCACAACAAGACCCTGAAGCGGACCCGCAGGTTTGTGGTGGACGGTGTGGAAGTAAGCATCACCACCTCCAAGATCATCAGTGAAGATGAGAAGAAAGACGAGGAGATGAGATTTCTCAGGCAAGTCCGGGGAGGCAACCAGTGTGGGAACCTGAGGGTGCTGAACTTTGGTCCTGTCTCCAGTATGACATGAGGGTTGAGGCAAAAGGAAAATGGTTTTACTTGACATCCCTTCTCCTGCATCCATCTGTCCACACATCCGCCTATCTGTCACCCATTCCTTTTGTCCATCCACTCACTCATCCACATGCCCAGTGACCCATCATCTGCATATTCATGTCTCTACTCTTCTGTCTTACCTAACTCCCATCCATCCACCCACCCATCCATCAGCCTGTGCATCTATTCACTCATTCATCCAGCTATCTGCTTACTCACCCATCTACAGAACACCCCACTGCTCATCTGTTTTCCCTTCCACTTACCTATTTGTCCATCCACACATCCATCCATCCATCCATCCACCCACCCACCCAATCATCCATCCATCCATCCATCCATCCATCATCCACCCACCCACCCATCCATCCTCCATCTACCCATCTACCCACCCATCCATCTACCAATCCATCTACCCACCCATCCATCCACCCATCCACCCATCCACCCATCCACCCATCCATCCATCCACCCATGTATCCACCAGCCAGCCTCCCTGTCCACCCAGTTATTGATGTGTTCATCCACTTACTCATCTACCATCTATCCATCTATCTGTCTATTCACCCATTTAATCCACCCGCCTATTCGCTTGCCCTTTATCTATCTATACATCCACCCAATTATTGACTCATGCATCATCTACCAAGTGGATCCAAATGGAAGTCCAGATACACAAAGCTAATCCCCACATCGAGTTTATACCTATGGGTTCCAGACATGATATACAAGCTAATACTTGATTGTGCTGCACACTGCAAAGGAAAGAATGGTTGATACAGCCGTGAGTGCCTGGGCTGAGCAAAGATTGCTCATAGGGACTATCACCGTTACCCTGAGCTGAACTTGAGAGATGAGGTGAGTCCCAGCACTAGAGAAGTGCCGAGAGAATCTGCCATGGCTGAGGCCCTGGCAGGTGACCTGGATTTGCATCAGGATCTTAGAGAAAAGGACTTCAGTATGGAATGCCAGGACAGAGAGAGTGGGACTGTGTGGTCTGTGTGGGGGCAGGACCCAGGCTATGGAGGTCCATAAGCTGTGAGGAAAGGCAGAGGAGACAGGGAAATGGCACACAGTGACAGGCTGGGCAGTTTCTCTGGCTACTGTTTAGGTCTTAGCTGTAGGAGGGAAAAACTGGTTTGAGAGGTGGGCAGACTGTCCAGGACCATCAGACTCTGCCTCAGGCTGGGGCGGTGGCCAAGAGGGAAAAGGCACAGGACTTAGTGCGATCGAGAGAGGGGGAGGGCAGGGAAAGAAGGTATAAGGCAAAGCCACTTGCCTGACACAGCCTCACACACTCCAGTGGTGTCCTACAGCCCTCCCCGGAAGACCCTATTCCTCACGTGTACGTGAGGAAGCTGTGTTTCTTGGCAGATAAGCTGCAAGCACTGGGTCTCTAGTTGACCAGGAGCAGAAAGGAAATTCTGCCTGAGAACTCCTCCAGTTCCCACTATGCACTGGGACTCCCTGGGACTGCTGCTGAAGAGTGGGCTGCTGGGCACTGGGGAGGCTCAGCGCACCCCCAGGCCAGGGCTTTGCAGGCGTCATCATTGCTTTGAAGGAAAGCTTCTAGCATTCCAGAATAGAAGTAGTTTGGGGTGTTCTAGGGACATTTCCTCCATCTTTGGCCAGTGGGATGAAATTTAATTATAAATTTATTTATAATTATTAATTATAAAATTATTTAATTATAAATGACAAACATCCTCATCCAATCCAGAAGTGAGAGTAGGGCACCAAAAGTATAAAGGTATTGCCAGTATCTTTCAAAATGTTCTGCTAGTTTATATCAGTAGCACATGGAATATGAATTCCCCTACATGCTTGTCTGTTTAATGAAATGCTTTTTCTTTTATATTTGTATTTCATATCATATAGACAATTTTAAAGTTTCTTCTTAAATTTTGCACTCATTTGCTTTATGTCTTTTCTTTTCATGTTATGATGTTATATGCCACTTGTGGGGTTGGTGGTTAATTCCTTTCTCCTTACTGTTTATAAATGTTAAAGATTTATTTCTTTGTTATGTAGACAGCATTCCTTCCATGTATGACCACACGCCAGAAGAGGGCACCAGATCTCATTATAGATGGCTGTGAGCCACCATGTGGTTGCTGGGAATTGAACTCAGGACCTCTGGAAGAGCAGTCAGTGCTCTTAACCACTGAGCCATCTCTCCAGCCCTGTAAATGCTCTTTATACATGAAGGGTACTCACCTTTTTATCTCTCAGAATATCAAACGAAACCTGAATCCTGATTGTGTCTCCGCTTGAGTCAGTGGGATGCTACTCCACAACCCATCCCTTTGTGGCCCTGGCTGTGAACACTGTGGTCTCAGAGGCCCCCTTCTCACTAGGAAATGTTTGTGTCTGTTCATCTCCAGGCGCCAGGAACTCCGGGAGCTTCGGCTTCTGCAGAAGGAAGAGCATCGGAACCAGACCCAGCTGAACAGCAAGCATGAGCTGCAGCTGGAGCAGATGCACAAACGTTTTGAACAAGAAATCAACGTGAGTGAGGGGAGACAGGCCCCGGGGCTCCTGGCCTCCTGGCCTCCTGGCCTCCATGTTTTCTTCAGGTGAATGTGTTGTCAGAGGGGGTGGTCGGATCACAGTGACCCCGAGTTGCACAGGGACACCCTTAGAGGTGGAGTGTCATGCCACTGTCCCGCCAGGTCAGACAAGGAAACAACTCAGAGAGGTTAAAGAACTTGCCCTGGGCCGGATGGTGGTGATGCATGCCTTCAATCCCAGCACTTGGGAGGCAGAGACAGGTGGATCTCTGTGAGTTCGAAGCCAGCCTGGTCTACAAGAGCTAGGCCCAGAACAGGCTCGATAGCTATAGAGAAACCCTGTCTCAAAAAAAACAAAACAAAACAAAACAAAAAACAAAAAAACCCTGCCCTGGGGCACACAGCAAAGGGTGGCAGGGTCCAGCTCACGTCTGGGTCTAATACAGACTCTGAGGTTTGAGGCAGTTCTGCTGGATGCCTGAGTCTGTGCACCTTCCAGAACAAGAAGAAATATTTTGACATGGAGCTGGAGAACCTGGAGCGGCAGCAGAAGCAGCAGGTGGAGAAGATGGAGCAGGACCACAGCGTGCGCCGGAGAGAGGAGGCCAAGAGGATCCGCCTGGAGCAGGAACGAGACTATGCCAAGTTCCAGGAGCAGCTCAAGCAGATGAAGAAGGAGGTGATGGGACGCTGGGGGGCGGGGCGGGGCAGGGCCTCTGCTCTGAGGATTGGCCTCTGTCTTAGGCCAATTGCTAATTGTCTATTGCTGTGATGCAACACTGAGGCCAGATGCAGTTTGGGAAGGAGGAATTTGTTTCAGTTTACACTTCCCCTGCCCAGTCCATCAACGGGGGAGGACAGGGCAGGGACCTGGAGGCAGGAGCTGATACAGAGGCCATGGAGGGGTGCTGCTTACTGGTTTGCTCATCATGGCTTGCTCAGCCTGCTTCCTTACAGAACCCAGGACCACCAGCCCCAGGGTGGCCCCATCCACAATGGGCCAGGCCCTCCCCATCAATCATCAATCAGGAAAATGTCCCAGGGGCCTGTCTTACGAGGGCATTTTCTCAATTGAGGTTCTCAAATAACTCTAGCTTGTGTCAAGTTGATATAAAAATAGCCAGCACGGCCTCCTTTCTGAACAGAGGGGCTGCGTGGAGCCAATTACCCCAAGATCTTGGGAGCAGCCGCACTGGGATCCTGGTGTCCCAGCCACAAAGCGATGACACTTTAGTCCTTTCTCTGCCTTTTGGATGCCACCTTCCTGTGTGGTCCTTCCTGAGCGGCTTCTGTTAACTTCTTTCACATCCGCTTAGATGAAAGAGAGCAGGAAAGATGAAAGAGACGGTGGCCTCTTTAAAGTTGGAGGTGCTCTTCCCATAAGGGGAGGCAATGCAGGAGGGGCCCAACAGATGCTGTCCCCTGTGCTCCACCCTCTTCTGGTTGTCCTCCTCCTCCTCCTCCTCCTCCCTCAGTTGGAAGGGGGAGGCAAGGAGATGCATGGCCCTGAGACCAGGACTCGGATTCCCAGAGCCGTAGCCTGGCAGACTGTGCTGTGCTGGGGACTCCCACGGCCGGTGCTGCCGTCTGCTTATTTGCCTCCTTCCTCCTGGAAGTCTCCAGAAGGGTGTTCCAGCCCTTAGCTTCCCCAACATAGGGAGGTATGGGCTACTCTTGAGACCCAGATGCCCTGTGCACAGACAGGCTGAGACGTCTCCCTCCCTCCCCGGGAAAGCCCCTTGTGTGTGCTGTACAGGTTCCCTACCACTGAGTCACACCAGAGTTCCTGGTTTAGTCTGACATGGTTTCCCCCACCTCCTTGGTTGTTTTGTTTGAAAGTTTTCCTGGGAAGAAGAAGCTTGGCATCTGTGCCCTTTTGGCTTCTCGGGAGGACACTGCATTTAGTGTCCCTGGAGCTATTCTTCCAGGCTTGATTGCTGTGGTCTGGGGATGGCCCTCTTCTCGGCAGCTCATCATAGGCTCACGTTTACTCTCTCTTTCCAGAACTCTTGGGGTTCCAGCACCGAGTCCGGTGAACCGTATAGATGTTCCTCACTGACTCACTCGGGGGCACCCCCAGGTTTAAGGCTGCTGCACCCACACAGCGGTGTAGCCTGCATACAACCCGCACACACCTTCCCGAGCGCCTTCTGTCACCTCTGGGTCCTTCATGATTTCCCATGCAGCGCCACTTCTGTGCAGATGGTTGCTGTACTGAACCGCGAGCTATGACTAGGGGAAAGCCGGTTCGTTAGGTTTTCCCAAGGTTTCCTCAGTTTGCATGCTGATGAAACTGTGTAATGACTTGTTTCTCAGAGTGTGTCCCTGTCGTGAAGCTGAGCTTATTAAATAGTTCAGCGTCCCCTAGCCCTGCACGCCAGATCCCTGGAAGGAACCCTGGGGACTTCTTAGTTAAAAGCGAGATTGTTTTTCTGGTTGGAAAAAATGAGATGCTGAAACATTCAGTAACTTCAAGGACGTCACTGCCCTGGAATGCAGCTTATCTGCCGCCTGGTGGAACTTGCTCCCCGCCCTGCCAGGCCTGCCATTCACTGCACAGCTCTGCCAGGGAGCAGTGCTGGCATGTAAAGGGTCCCATGAGTCCTTGGGTGAGTGACCCCACAGACTCTGCTCTTACTCCTCTTCTGCCTCCTCCCTCCATCACCAGATGTAGGAGTGTTTGTTGCTTGTGTCTTCCATGCTTTTAACCAAGAGCTCAGAAGCTGGGCTCCCTGTTTATTGCTGCTTTAATCTGTCCCTTAGACCAAAGCAGTCAGCTTGTAAAAGCTCAGTTCTAAGTCTGTAGCCCTTAAGTTACGTGATAACTCTCAAGGTCACTGAGCTGGGGCAGGGCACCATACTGATATAGAGGCCACAGTGCACAGACACACTATTCACTTAGGAATTTTACGTAAGCCTGTGCATATCAAACGAGAGTGAGAGTCTTCTGTCTCTGGCTCTCTGAGACGTTGGCCACGTCTACTAACATTTGGGGGCGTGTCACAGCTCGGGGATGGAGTGGAGTAGTCTGTTGATCTCACAACCAGGAACACTGCTGACATCCTATAAATACATAGGACAGCCTGCTCTCTCTCAGGTCCCCAGAGTCAGTCATGCTGCAGATGGGAAATCCATGGAAAACAGAGAGGCCAGAAAACATGGGACCAGAGTCAGCCAACAAAACCCAGAAGCATTTTATAAAAGCCTAGGAATTAGAAGAGAGGGTGAGACAGGCTAGGCTGGAGGACTTCGGGAGTCAGATGGTAAGCGCACGGTCGAGGTTGCCATGCTCCTCCAGACGCTCCGAATCCGTTCTGTCTCCACAGCAACAGGGGTGGTCTGGTGGCTCCTTTTCCCCAACACTTGGTCTCAGCAACTTTACTGTTTTATTTTAGCCACCCTGATGGGTGTGAAGTGGCATCTCACTGTGACTTTGAGTTTGCATTTCCCTAATGACCAGTGACATGTGTCTTTGCATTTGCTTCTTTGTCACCGTATGTCACTTTTGGTGATGTGTCTGCTCAAAAATCTCTTGCTCCTTTATTTAGCTGGGAGATTGGTTTCTTTTTTAGTGAAATCTGACAGTTCTCTTTATATTTGGACTGACAGTACTTTGTGAGATATTATTTTGCTGTATTTCTTTTCTTCCCATGCCTTGTCTTATAGTTCTCCTAACAGTGTCTTGTTCTCTTTCAGCATGATTCTTTTAGGGGCTTATCTAAGAAACCAAGGAGTCCTTCTCCAACCCCACGGGATGCAGTCTTTCAGCAATTTGTCATGTTTGGTTTTCTGTTTCTATGTGAGAACATTTTGAGTTGAATTCTGTTAAGGATGAGGGGTGAATGGGTTTGGATAGGGATGTCTGGATGAGGTGTGAATGGATTTGGATAGGGATGTCTAGATGAGGTGTGAATGGGTTTGGATAGGGATGTCTGGATGGGGTGTGAATAGATTTGGTTAGAGATGTCTGGATGGGGTGTGAATTAGTTTGTTTAGAGATGTCTGGGTGGGGTGTGAATGGGTTTGGTTAGGGATGACTGGATG